GCAGTTCTTAGAGTCCCAAGAACGGCCTGTGTAACAAAGCTCTGTGAGCTGCATTAGCTGCTGCATTAGCTGGGTGCAATTCAAGGTGTTGGTAATCACCTTTAAAGCTCTTCATAGAATGGGTATTTGAGGAACTGTCTTATCCCATTGGGATTGGGCAACCTAATGTGTCCAAAATGAAACAAAAGATAAAATGGGTTAAATGTTTCAAATATTTTGGGTGGTATTTCACTGTTCAGGAAGTATATTAGGCAAAAGCAACCAAAATCATTCATGACTAGTCTCAACAGTAGCTTTATTGCTAATAAACTATGTAACAAAAATATTGTCAGACTGTCTGCTTTCTCTTCAGAACAGCAACATAAGGCTTCGAAGAATCAGGGAGCAGTCCAGTCTGTGCCACTTACTGAAGTGTAATGACTCTAAACTTGGGTCTCTTTAGGGCCCTCCCTCAAGTCCATCACAAAGTGTGAATCCACAAATGGCACATGCAGCACAGGAGATCAAAAGGAGCACAAAAGCTATTTTGAATTTTTTCTCTGTATGGGGGAGGGAATTGGTATTTGCCAGCATTAAATTGTTGTAAACAAAATCAGTGTTCCAACTTCCATATGGTGCTCATTTATCTCCTATTTCAATTATGGAATCCTTAGAGATAAAATTCCCTTGCAGAATTTTATGGCTATCCAGATATATCTGGATATCTCCAAAAAGCCCACAATTAGGTATGATAGTAATAAACTTCATATGCTGTTGCTACTTCGGTATTGTATTCACTGAAATGTTCCTGTGACAGTTAAAGTTCCCTTTAGCCAATACTGCTAATGCCTTGATAGCTAATTTCCCATGCTATTGTTTATGATATTATTTAATAAAGCTACTAAAACCAGCAATTCTTATTTTGTAGGGTTGAAATCATGTATTAATCATTATGAAATAGAAGCACTTCCCCCAATTTGTTTCAAATTTACAATTTCATTGGGTGAACATGCATTTTAGATTTAAAAAAAAATAAAGTTTTCTTTTCTTAATATTCTGCTCTAGTAATTAACCTGAGCTAAATATTAGTCCTCTTAGATGAGTGACTATAACCTGTCGAACTGCATGCTAATCTAACTGAAACAAATGACGTATTTACAAAACTGCAATCTTCACGTTAGGAGCTTATGGCTTATGAAGCACTTTATGCATCTTAGGGAGCCCTCTTAAGGACATTTCAATTTCTTGCTATTACTTTTTAATAGCAAGAATTAATCTCTCCTTCAAGCAATTACAAGTATTTTGTTAGTACAAAGTATTTACACATGTTCCTGTTCTATGCATGAGGTATACAGAATTGCTATTGTGACATTTTCTTGCATTATGTATATTGTATGGATGTTTGGATGTGAAGGATACTTGTGGTTATTTATTGGGCAAAATATGTGCTCTTTGCTCCTAAGCAAAATTAATTCCTCACCTCCTAATTAAATGGCTGTATGTAAACTTTAATCCACCAGGTGATTTGGAGTGATTAACAATTAAGGAATAAAACATTTATTTAAAAAGTAGGAAAAAGATTAAATGAGGTTAAAAAGCAGTTAAGCAACTAAAACCATGGTTCCTTCAGTTGCACTAATTATAATAATTCAAGCAGTTGCTATCGATTGTCTCAAATCACATCTCTCTGCATGTTAATTACAAAGATATGTTAAATAGCAGATCTGCTTAGCTCCCAAATTTTTCAGATAATCCAGAACAAAGCTGCCCTTGCACTGAGCATCTCTATGTAATCAATTATTTTTGTATACTAATGTGGCAAACTACTATTGAACTACTCCTCCTAGTGGCTGATAAAAAAACATAATGCTGCTCATAAGGAATCCAGAATATGAATTAATTGTTCTTAATTTTTAGAGCTGAAAAATGAGTCTCAAGTTCTCCTGGAATGAAGAAGCTATCTGCCCTTGGTTTAAGGAATAATTGGGAAAAGAAACCAAATTAAATTCTAGATTTCTCAAAGCAATAAATTGTGCAAATAGCACCACACAATGAAGGAATCTGTGTTAAAATTTTAATTTAAAGTAATATGTAACTGTATTTTTCTGGAAAAAAAATAAGTTTGTTATGTATTTTCTGATATGACTGCTTTAAATCAATATTGAAGTTAAATAAAGATACACATATCTAAAAAGTAGGGAAGAATGTCATTGTTTTTCAAATATTAGAATTTTTAGTCAGTTTTTAGAAAGCAAATAAAATTAAATATCTTTTCTAATTATTACAAATTATTGTATGATATACTTATCTATTCACAATTCTGAGTTTAGGAATATAATATAATTTTATGTAGAGGAGCCATTGATTTTAATGAGTAAAGCTCCAATGCCTACTGAAAAAAAATCAACATTTTGGTCTACCACAGGTTAGATCGATTCATTATTTTAAGCCTGTACTCTGATAATGAGGTTATTTCATTTTAGAAACTGCATTATCTTGAACATCAGCTGCATTTATGAAATGAGATTAGTTGAGTAAATTAGAAAAGATAGAATGGCAGACCTTAATAAATCTTGTCTAGTGCATTGCTGCTAAAACTAAGCAATACAGTTATGAGTAGGTATGCAGGATACTAATAACTCTATTGACTGTCATGAATAACAATGTTGCTCCTTTGCATCTTTTCTGTGTGTTGGGAGGGCATTTCAGTTTTAGGCTAAAATATATGAAATCACTGTACTAATGCAAAGGTACTCACATAACTTGACAGATGAAAAGCAAATGGTCTTCTTATTTTATTCTATTTATATTTTTATTATTATTTTATTTTTATTATTTAAATTTACATACCGCCCTATCTCCCTTACGGGACTCAGGGTGGTGAACAGGCAATAATAAAAATCACAGTAAGTATCACAGTAAGTATGTCTTTCTTTTTGCTAAGAGTTAATTATGTCAACTTTCCTGGTTTAGGCTTGAGCAACATCATAATTCCATTATAATTCTATAGGCTTTTTTAATCTAAGGGCAAACTGACACTCTTCTTTAGGGTCACGTCAGTTCTTGGAATCCTTAGGTGGGAACTGGGATCTATAAATTTTGAAAGAAGTGGTAAAGTTCCATACTTTGGGTATGTCATTGATACATTTACATATAAACTTCCAATTTTCAGATTTAATTTTTGGAATACACAAAAGGACTTTGATTTTACAGTCCTTGATTTAATGGATTTCAGATGCAACAACAGAAAAAATTGTACACTGTATGCTTTTGCTAATGCGTAACATCCAATTGGCCATGTTACACATGGGTGAAAATACATAAAATGTGAATGAATAAAATGCTATTTCAATTTTATATAAGGTTAAAATAAGCACGTGTAAAATCCCATTCCCATTTTATGCATGCATAAAGTACATTTAAATTTAAGTCTGCTCTGAAGACTTGTGTTTTTTAAAAATGTTCATGTGTGTCTATATGCAATTAACCTTTTTGAAGAAGAGTTTCCACTGTATATCATATTTTATATTAATGTCTTAAAGAAGCATAATATCTTTTTCTTACCTTGACTTCAAAGAATTTCTCAGTTGTCAGGAAGCAGCAGGATCAATTTAAGCCAATGACTAGAATTAGAAAGTTTCCCTTCCTGAAATAATAAGATTCCTATTTCACAAATACTTTTTAAAATATCCACTTATTACTTATTTATCTATATAGGACAAATAGATGAAAGCCCAGCCAAGGCTTCATTCCATTGTGTGTGTGTGTGTGTGTGTGTGTGTATGAGTTGCCTTATTTTGGCTAGAACAATAGATTCTATCCCATCCTTAGTGAAGTAAAGTGTGTTTTGAGGAAGATAATCAGATTCTATCAAAACTTACTGTTTCAAGGTAAACCTGCTAAGTGAGGAAACTGAAAGCAAAGCCTTTCATAATGGGCTCAGTGGTTTGTGGATGCTGTGGGTTTTTATTACATCTTTCTTGAAGTATCTACCAAGTGTTTGCAAAATTTCTAGTGTAGGATGGTTACAATAGGCCAGTGATGGCGAACCTTTTAGAGACCGAGTGCCCAAACTGCAACCCAAATCCCACTTATGCATTTCGGGTGCCGGGTGGGTGTGGCCCATTGGCTGGGTGTGGCCCATTGGGTGGGCGTGGGCAATTGGGTGGGGGTGGCTGCAGTGGTAACGGCAGACTGGGTGGGACTAAAAAGTTCAATCAATCAATTCCAACTTTGCGAGATCTTTTTTTTTCCCCACGAGAAGTTGAAATTGACTGATTGATTGAACCTTTTTTTTTTTTTTTGCACACAGCAGCGGAGGCCTAAAGCGAAAAGGTTTTATAAAACCCAGCTGAAGGCCTAGGACTGGGGTGATGGTGCGCGTGCCCACAGAGAGGGCTCTGAGTGCCGCCTCTGGCACCCGTGCCATAGGTTCGCCACCACTGCAATAGGCAATACAGCACCTTGGATACAGGGTCTAAAAAGTCCTTCAGAACATGGGGGATGCAATGCACCCCCATCTATATTATTTTAAAGCAGCTGCACCTTTCCCTTCTATCACATGGCTGAATACAATTGGAGATTTATGCTGTGCATAACTGTTGGATGTCTTGACCTAAGAATTAAAATTGAAGCATTGCAAAATCGGAGGACTGATCATCTTCATTACCCCATGAAATTATGTGCATTGTGAACAGATACCTGTGGTGTTTGTTCTTTTTGTTTGCTATAGGTAATGTCTAATTCATCTGGTCCATATTGTATTGCGTAATAGGTGACTTGTTTTAAAAGTATTTCATGCATAATTACTTCTAATTTGTGACTATTTTTTAATAGTTGACTATCTGGCTTGGCTCAAGTTTTCCTAAACTTGATTGGCTGAAATTTTCCTTAAGTTTACATTTTCTATTTGCGTGTAGTAAGATTTTATTTTTCAGATAGAGAAAATGTATATTGTAAGATTAGGCAAAAGAATACTATAGCTATATTTCAATGTATTGTTTCTCATTTTCTATTTATAGAAAGTAGGTGAAAATACAGACATAATATTGCTGGGTAACAAGTGCGATAAGGAGGCAGAACGTGTAATTTCAAAAAACAGAGGAGAAAAGGTAGGCATGTATTATAGGAGATTGCCTTGTTGCTTAAATATTTTGGAGTGTATTATAAATATATACATACAATATGATAATAAAATGCAGTTATTTACTATTGCAGAATAGCAGCATGTTTCAATAGTAAAGGGCAATATAGTGAGGAATTATTTCAAACACTCTTCTATACTTCGTAAACTGCAAAAATAAACCAACAACAAAAAAAGCTTAGGCATTTAATCTGAAACTTCTATTTTTTTTAATTTCATCAATTTTTTAAAAACATCATTTAAAATTTGTGGAAGCTTTTGGAAAAAAAAAAAGCATGACCCACCTGCTAAGATTTATGTTATGCCTTTCAATCTTATTAAGAATGTTAGAAAGTAGAAAATAGAACATTTTTAGAAACGATTATATTTCTGTCTTCTTCCACTCTACATATTTAACTTTTAAAAATAATATCTGTAATTAGGAATTATATAATTATTCAATATAATTATATAATAATTAAATAATTCCCTTCAGTGCAAAAGAAAACCAGTTCATTTGTGGCTTCCAGAAGTCCTTCCATTTCAGCTGTGAAAAACCAGTGTTCCTGCATTTTATAACTCCTCAAATGAGTATAAAAAGAGAAAGTGGCCCAACAGACATACCCGAGGAAAAACACCTTAATGGCATAGATTGAATCTGGCATCATGACAGTTATTTCAAGTGGCATCCCAAGAAATTACAGTAGTTCTTTTTTAAGTATTTGCAACCACACAACTATGGTAAAAATCATCATGATAGATGATCACAAGGTGGCAGTGCTGAGATATCTCATTGGCTCACTTAAAATGTTTCAGCTCATTTTCCAATTTTCTATGACTACCCTGCAATTAAGTTAATTTACTAATGGAACAAAATCCATGGTAACCTTTCCTTAATTTACCTCCTGCCTCAGTTTTCTTTATGTTTTGAATTGCTTTTCTATTTCTTTGTCAGAATATGAAAGATACTGATTTTTATTTTTTATTTATTTATTACATTTTTATGCTGAACATCTCCCTATAAGGGACTCTTAAAATGAAGGTTTACTTCATTAATGAAAGCTTCCTAGGAAGAAGCACTGTTGGACTAGTTCTGGGCAGCCCCAGCTTCAAATCCACTCTTGGAAACTTGCTTAATGACTTTATGTTAGTCACATTATCTCAGCCCAACATACTTCACCAGGTTGCTATTGCAATAAAATGAAGGGTGGTCCCATGTTAGCTGCCTTAAGGTCTTGAAGGAAAGATTGGCTACAAAGCTGAATGAACTAATGTCGTTTCTTGTAATAGTATTAATAAACTGACAAAAGTATATTAGTTACATTACATTTGTAACAGCAGACAATAGTGACTAAAAACACTGTAAGAGGCATTTGAAGAACAAAACAGCTTTCCAAATTTCTGCTTTCTCTCTTCACTGTTGTATGCATAATTTGTTGACTTCTTTTTGATCTAAGGTGGCAATTTTAAATCATTGCTGAGATCAGTTTTTAAACAACTAACTTGAACCAAATTTCCATTAAGGAAATTCATATAAGGGAAAATTCTTGTTTCCTTCTCCACCATACCCAAGTCTCTCATGATTCTTTTTCCCCCCTTTCACATTAGATTTATAACTTGAACATATAAACATCAGTCACTTTATTTTTGCAAATTATCATATAAGTATTTATTTTGTTTTTAACTGTAAGAAGAGACTGGACAGCCATTTGTCTGAAATGGTATAGGGTTTCCTGCCTGAGCAGGGGGTTGGACTAGATGACCTCCAAGGTCCCTTCCAACTTTATTATTATTATTATTATTATTATTATTATTATTATTAGTTGTTGTTATTGTTGTTGTTGTTATTGTTGTTGTTGTTGTTATTATTATTATTATTATTATTATTATTATTATTATTATTATTATTATTATTATTATTATTATTATCATCATCATCTGTGGCACAGGTGTCCAACCTTTTGGTTTGCCTGGACCACTTTGAGTGAAGAGGAATTGTCTTGGTGGCATATAAAATATATAATATGGTCAATGTATATAAATCACATAATGTTAAAAGTTTACAATCTGGTATGGCCGCACTACCCAAGGGCTGCATGTGGTCCAAGGGCCATGGGTTGGACTCGCCTATCTATGATTTTCTCATTAAACCAAACTTATCTCCTGGATTCACACAGTACGCTGAACCATAAACTCACCACATGAACTGGCTTCACATAACATACTCAGTTGAAACCTAGTTGTTAGTGTGCAAACCCAGAGGAATCTTCCTTATTCTTTTAATTGAAAATATAAAATGAGTTATCAGGCAATGTTAGATGATTAAAACAGAAAAGGAAGGCACTTTTTTCTCATTCACACAACAGTTTCTAGATTTCTTTTAATACAATTTTCATAGCATGAAAAAGAAGTTCATAAAATGAAAGATACAAGCCAGGCTTTCACTTGAGCGAGATTGTAGAAATCTTTCTGTTATCCATGTTTTCATTTGCTTCCCTCAGATTTGCTTTTGTTATTATTCCAAACAATCAATTATAGAAACTAGATGAATTACAGGTGCTCAAAATAGCTATACATTCTTTGCTTTCCCCCATACTAACCTGAAAAAAAAGATATTTGCCATGGAGCTATACTGAATTCAGGTGACACAATGATATTTGCTACTCAAAAAAGCAGTCTTTGTTTCCCAACTCAAATTATTTGTCTTTTCTTTCCTATTTTTCCAAAGTCTCTCACAAATGGTGGCCTGAAGAATATTAAACATCTGAAATCATATTATTTAGTTACTTCTGCAGACTCATTGATGGCTGGTGGGGTTTTTTATGTTCATAGAGGCATCAACCGGGAGTATGAGAACTATCTATAGGATTACTGTCAATTGAAAATATACTTTGAAAGTTTTACATATCTTGGAATGTAGTACATTTTTTTAAAAAAATATTAAGTCCCTAATAAAGTGATTATAATCAAACATTGGGCTAAAACTCTTAATCTCAATTATAAGTACCTTGCATTTTTAATCCAAAAAGAGAGATGGTATGCTTGGAGGGAGACTTTACATTTTCTGAAATTATTGTATATGCTTTTAAAACATTTGTATTTAAATAGTTTGAAGCTTAAAGAAATTTTCAATTCTGTAGGCTTATCTAGCTCAGTTCAATCTGGCAAAGATCCTTCACATCATTCACTATCTGATCTTTTTACTGGGTATCTCAATAACTAAACATGATTATGCTTGCATTCAAACCATATGCTGCACCATATGCTCCATAATGATATATCTATTTTCATCATTTTTAATGTAAAGTATCTGCTGATTATAAGTAACAAATGTACCATCTTTGAGAATACCAATCTTTGTATACTGCAGATTTGAACCTAGTTAATAAAGGAAGTATCTGCTACAGGTTAAAGAAAGCTAGATAAACTGAAAGTGAAGAAGCATTCCTTCAATCATTACTTAAGTATCCCATAATAAGTTTTAATTTAAAATTTTAATTCAGTAAATAAAGGAGCAAATATATGTAGTTAGATGGTCCACAACTTCACCATGGGAATTAGTTTATAATCACAGTGTATGAGCCATCTTTTGAGTTAATTTTACTAAGAATTATATTTTAAAGCAAAGCATTCCTTTATTTCATTTTTTTGCATTCCAGCTTGCTTGGGAATATGGAATACCTTTCTTTGAAACCAGTGCAAAGGATAATATAAATATTGAAAATGCATTTTCAGTTCTAGCCAAAGAAATATTGAACAAGGTAATCTAATTGAAAAACTTTTTTTCTTAAACCATTTCATATGAATTAAAAGAGACTGTCCAATGTAAGAGATCTACCTCCTACCTTTGTGTATTTTATCATAATAATCAAAAAGCTTTAAACAAAGAAAATATGAACCAGAAAGGCTCAATTTTCAAAAGATCTGTAATTATTATTACTGGTTTGTTCACTGAATACAATTCTATGGCTTTCCCCCCCATCAGAATTCCTGTGTATTTCTTGACTTAGACGTGGTGGACCTAAATGAAAAACTACAAACAAGATCTTGCTGTAAATTGTGACTGTACAAAGAAAGAAAAAGCTACTAATATTGGTAACTTGGTATATATCAAAGCCTTGAATCCCTAACATATAAATTACTCAATTAAAGTACTGATACTAACTAACAAATGAACAGGTTCTTTATCCATTGTCATTTTATTTATTTGCTGTTATAAACCAAATATTAGATTTACATTATACATCATGACTGTAAAAGTTATTCAGAATGGAAGAGTAAAAAAAAAATACAAATGATCTTTGAATGTTGGCCATCATAGCTTGTTTATGCAATAAATCTAAAACGTAAACATGACATCTTTGTGAAGATTTGAATTCATATTTCCTAGTGAGCACTTTTAAACACTTTATAAAATGAGAATAAGGAATAATCTAGAGCAGTGATGGCAAACCTTTTATTTATTTTATTTATTTATTTTTTATTTAACATGGATTTATATGCCGCCCTTCTCCCTATAGGACTCAGGGCGGCTTACAGCATATTAAAACACTTAAAACATCATCCCCCCATAAAAACCTGTTAGAGACTGAGTGCCCAAACTGCAACCCCAAACTGCAACCCCAAACCCACTTATGTATCATCGGGTGCTGAGTGGGCGTGGCCCATTGGGTGGATGTGGTCCATTGAGTGGGTGTGGCCAATTGGGTGGGCGTGACTGCGGTGGTAACGGCACACTGGGTGGGACTAAAAAGTTCAATCAATTCCAACTTTGCGAGATCTTTTTTTTCCCGCGAGAAGTTGAAATTGATTGATTGATTGAACCTGTTTTTTTTCCACACAGTGGCAGAGGCCTAAAGCGAAAAGGTTTTATAAAACCCAGCTGAAGGCCGAGGACTGGGGCGACAGCGTGCATGCCTACAGAGAGGGCTCTGTGTGTGCCACCTGTGGCACGCGTGCCATAGGTTCGCCGCCACAGATCTAGAGAGAACTCAGGAATGGTGGTCACTTCGAAGTCTCCAAAGCAACCCAAAATCATAGACTAACACCCAAGAATGACCTGCAAATAGAGATTGAGCAACAACTGATTTCTCCATCTCTCTCCAAGATTCCCAAATGCTTTTACAGCACACACTTCTTCTGAGGCTACTACCAGTTCTCCAGCACCTCTAGTTTCCATCAGGAAGGGACAGAATCTTATAAGTAAGAATGCCTCAGATTTTATACTTAGGAAATGCCTTTTAACAGTAATTGGAGACAGTTGTTTCTATTTTTGACTACTTACCAATAAGCAACAATTTCAATTCTTTTAAAAAGCCTTTTACCAGAAACAAGAAGAGAAACTAACCACTTACAGAAGCACAAACATTGAGAACAGGGTGGATTCAACAGAAAGAGATACTTAAACTCCAATGGGAGAGAAATTCCCTATTACTGTATGATGAAAAGAGGGAGGGGGCAATTAACAATTGGCTCCTTTAGCATATCCAGTTTCCCTACTTATCAGAGCTTATAAGAGTTGTTGGGACACCAAAAGGGCTCTTGTTTTATCTTTAAGCAAATTCCTCCAATGTTAACTGCATCTGATAGACTTACAAGCGGCGAAATGGTTACCCAGTGAAATAGGATGTAAAAGAGATTTGTTAACATTCAAATACCCTATAATCAAAATGATGGATATGTTTCACACACTCATTTTTTTCATTCAACTATACAAGTTGGAGATCTCTCTGTAGGTACAAGGGATAAAAAGCTGCCCACTGCAAATAGCCTTGACAAAGAGAAATCCAGATATGCCACTTTTTGACAATTAACAACACAGATTACAGATGAAGCTGTAGAAGTATGGCTGATTCATTCTTTTACAACACTGCCAAATTGTGTGTAACTCATCTAGTAATGTCCCTGTCTTGTCTACCTCGTACGGCGATGGAGACCTACATAATAAGCTATGAAAGCACTGTAGCTTAAGCTACAGATGGCCTGATTTGCCTTTGGCTACTGGAGGCTTTGCAGTGGTTAGATTGCAGTATTGCAGGCTAACTATCCTCACAGCCTGAAGTTCAATCCTCACCAACTCAAGGTTGACTCAGCCTTCCATCCTTTCGAGGTTGGTAAAACAAGGACCCAGATTGTTGGGAACAATATGCTGACTCTGTAAACCACTCAGAGTATGGGCCAGTACATAAGTTTAAGTGCTATTGTTATTGCTATATTTATATCCTTACTTAAAAAATAAGAAATATTGGGACATCCAAGATAAACTGTTGTAATCCTCACATGTAATTAACTTGTACTGTATATTACTAGGAAGATTGTGGTTTTCATATCAAACACCACTCTGAAGAGGATAACCTAGAATACATTGGGGTTGTCTTGAGGGTGATTATTTATTCTGAATATGTCCTATTCTATTGTTTTCTCTGTATTGTTTTTATAGCTTATTGACATGGTCAATGACTAAGCAATTAAAACATTAATCATATAATTATACAATTTTAGATAATTTGCCATTGAAGGAAAATTCTAATGGTGCTTTTTAAATTAAAGCAGGGGTCCCCATCCCCCAGGCTGTGAGCTGTTCAGAACTTGGCCACCCAAAATAGTGGGTGAGCACACGTGTGCGTGTCCATGCCTACTTGCATGAGCAGCGGGCAAGCATGTTTGTGAGTGCTCCATTTCATGAGCAGCTGGCACACGTGCCCGCTGGTCACACAAATGGAGCTGTGTGCGTGTGCTTGCTCCCATAGAACCAGCCCCTCCCCCCGCCAGTCCACAAAGCCAGAAAGGTTGGGGAACTCTGAATTAAAATTTATCTCAAAGTTACCAGCCTATCTTGTCTAATATAAAATAGAATATTACTTCCAAATATTCCTTATGGATTCTTTTTAAAGCCCCTGAATATTAACTATTTACCTCCCCTTTTGAGAATTAACATTAGGATAGCTTTGATATCCTCACACTTGCAGCTTTCATGGGCTTAAAAATTATTAGATCTTTTTAAAGAACCAGATAAAGCAAGTGAAAAGAAGAGATGAAAATATATTACCTATTTCTTATCCCATTATCAAGGCAGCAGGAAACCTCAGGCTCCCACATGAATCATTGTTAAGTTCAAATGTTCAGGCAGCATTTATAACATAAGTCACTTTCAGTTCCACTTTGCTCAGGAATAATTTTATTACTACCCTGGATGAGGAAGGAGGTTATCATGGCTGGCACAAAAATGCTATTGGGTAGTTAGGAAGATAAATTTATTTCTGTGTAAATAATGGCACTTATAAAACTTGTTATACCAACCACCAGAAGTTGAGGTCATTTGAGGATTTAAGTTGAATGCAGAAACATTGGAAAACAATCATATCTTGAGATCACACCAAAGTTTAGTAGCAGAGGCCAATTCCACTGTATCATGCTTTACAGAAGAGTTAAATAGGTCAGGCGTAATGTTACAAAGATTCTGATCCTTCATGGAAGAAGAGTCTCAAAAGGTTTGTGCTAGAAAATTTCTGTTCCACTTCACGATTATCAGCTAAGAAGTGCTGTAAAGTTCCATCTTGTGCCCCAAGTTGTAATGAATCTGTACGTTCTGGGAAAAGTCAGTATGATTGTCACATTTACCTTTCACTTCTATGTACTTACCCCATGAAACTACAGAACTCTTAAAGGAGCATCACAAGGCTTCTTGTCATGAACAACAATGAATTTAAGGAGGCTTAGATCAGGTCTTTGATGAGGCTGTATATTTGAAGGATTGCATATTTTGAGAAACTTTTGCCATCCCATTACATCAGCCCATCCCAATCGATCAGGCAGGGAAAATACGCTGCAGATCCTGTCAGTTAAAGAACTCTGACTGGTGGGATCTAGAAAGAGAAAGAGAGCCATTTCTGCCGTTGCCTCTGCCCGGTGGAGTATTTTACCCACTGAGGTGAGGCAGCCCCCCCTCTTTTGACCTTCTGAAAAGGAGTCAAAGCATGGTTCTGTGGCCTTGCGTGGAGAATCCAAAGGAGTACACAGCCATGGAGTTGGCTGATACCCTGAGAACCCTTCCTTCAACTTTTTAACAGTGTATAATCATCCTTGACTCCCTCTAAGTCTATAATTTTTATATACAATTTTTATATTTTAACATTTTATTGTACACTGCCCGGAGTCTTTCTCTGAGGGAGATGGGCAGTTCAAAAATGTAATAAATGAACAAACAAGCATTCTGTACAAAGCTGCCTTTAAAGATTATCTGCAAACTTGAATTGGTGTTAGAATCTAAATACCCAGGAGTTGGTAAGAACAAGAAGTCAGAACATATGATACCTGTAGGGCACTATGATTTCCAAAGCTAATTAAAATTGTTGGTATTCTGGGACCAAGTTACGTGAAGAATAGTTTTCACCTATATCAACATGTCAATACTTTTTAAGACAGGAAGGGGGACTCATCACATTTACAAGTTGTTCTCTTGGTTTCCATAGGCTGTGATATCCATATGGATTGCTGTCTCAGCCAATTCTGACATTTTTCATGAAAGCCCTAGAGTCCTATCTGTTCCTTCAAAGTTCCCCATGACTGGCTCTCTTTTGAGATTTAGCTGCAATACAGTCTGTTTTCAAAACCCTCTAGGGCAATGTTTTTCAACTTTGGCAGCGTTAAGATGTGTGGATTTTCACTCCCAGAATTCCCCAGCCAGCATGCTTTTTTATTCTTAAGAGCTTGAAATTACTTTAAGTATAGGCAGCACTCATTCATAGTTGTATGACCACAGTTATAAAAACCCTATTTTTTTTAAAGATCTACCTAATATGCCTGACTTCTTTAGTTCAAAAACTTATTTCTGCCTTTCCTTTGGGAGACAGTGTCAGCAAGGCAGGCTTGAGATGTTGTCACATTGAACAAGGTATATTTTCTGTCAGACATACAACTTACTTTACTAAACAAAACAACATCTGTGACATTCCCATTGGTAACCAGTCAGTTACCCTAACGCATGAGAGAGCACTAGAAGTGAACATCAGTTCTTCCCCATGTCATTTTTTCAAAGCAGTCATAATACTGAAAGAGAGGATATATTTATGTATTTTACCATAGAGAATCTAATGGTAAAGGCACTAGGCTAGAAAGCAGGAGACTGTGAGTTCTAGTTGCTACTTAGGCATGAAAGCTGGCTAGTTGATTTTGTCAGTCCAGCCCACCACACAGAGTTATTGCTGTTGTGGGGAAAACAAGGAGAAGGATTTTTAGATATGTTCACTGCCTTGAGTTATTTATAAAAATAATAAATATGTTGGATAAAAATCAAATATTTTTTTTAAAAAAACTATATTATATATTAATTATTCTATATAAATTGT